AATTCGGGGAGGTATAAAAGAAAAAATGAAACAATGAAAATTTCAACTATTTGTCCGTTCGCTCGTAGAAATCGAGGGCTATAATAATTTCTTTAGTATTGATCGAGAAAGTGTAATGAAGAAGGAAACGAACAATGTGTCGTAATGAATAACCGACCCCGTTGTCTGTTGATCGAGAAGGCGTCCTCTACTGGGCTTCACAACCCTACTGTTCGATGACTCGTACTCAATTGGACACTCACTCATTTACGAGTAGTCAATCGGATTTGAAACTGCACGGCGCGATGCGCCGATGCCACCAATATTCTATCTCTATGTTTCTTCCCCCGTAGCGGAGGCAATAGTATTATACTTTGTATGCATCGTACTTTAGCTTCAACTACTCGACGCAGGAAAAACGGATACAAGGCCAGGTATAACATCCTTCGTTGTTTCTTTCTTTGACCCTTCTCCTTGATTTATTTCTTTTTTCTCCTTTTATTTCTATTTGTTCTTTATTTCTCCCTTTCTCCCTTTCTCCCTCTCTCTTTCTCTCTTTCTTTGTTTTTTTTCGAATATCATTGTACTAAATATCAATATCTCGATCTTACATCAATCATTATAAAATTCATTAGAAAATCAATTAATTGTAAAATTTTGCTTTGAAAGAAATTTGTATAAGAAGAGAATAAAAGAGAGAGAAAGAAAGAATAAATAAATAGTAAAATAAATATTTAAATCGTCTCCTTCCAATCGTCAAAATATTTCATTTCCTATATTTTTCGCTATGAAGACTCTTCCGTTTCTTATTAAAAGATAGCCTGTATTTCTATCCTTAAATTTTTATCAATTTTCTCTCTTTCTTCCTTTCTCTTTTGAAATATCATCATGCTAAGAATCATAGAAAAACGTATGTTGATAAAAGCGCCTTTGACCTTTGGCTTTGACGGTCAGCAAGGTCGTTGTCGTAGTAAGGATGTAAGCGTTCGTTTAATACGATTTTGCAGATGGGTGCGGTGGGGTGAGTTGAGTTAGATTAGGGGATTGAGGTCGGATGGAGGGGTTGAAATGTTGATTAATAATAACAAAAAACAAACTTTTATTTCTTTTATTCGCATATACATACACCTATGCTCGCATGCACTCACATACATTTTGAAACTTTGTGTTCATTTCCTTTCTTAATCTATTTTCTTACTTTTTCTATATTTTTTCTTATCTTTTCCTTTTTCAAATATGGGATAAAATGGATCCAAGGCAATGGTTTCTATTTCTGAGTGATGAATAATATAGCGGTCATGAAGGATAGCATCCTTCTATTTCGCCGATCGTTTGTAGGTCAGTTGAAATTACATTCTTTTCTACGTTGATAAGAATATATTTTGTTGCAGTGATTCTCAATCTTTTCTGTCTTTTTTCTTTCTTTTGTTCTTTTTTTCTACTTTGAGTAATGTCTGAAAACGCTTTTATTACTTTTATTCTGCAACTGTTTGTGTTTATGTATATATATATATATAAATTTATATATATATAAACCGGAAAAAGAACGAAAAAAATTGTACTAAAAGAAGGAAAAGAAGAGATGAATGGGTGACGAAGAAGGAGGGACGTGACAATAAAAAAGCGTTCTATCTTATACGAAAGATAGAAAGAGGAAAAGAATGAAAAGAGAGAGAGAGAGAAAGAGAGAAGATAAGAAGCCGATAATATAGAGATTACGCCATACTTTTAATATTTTTTAAATTCATCTTCACATTTTCAGTTATGATATTAAACGATACTCGTATATCTTTTTCTACATTTTTTATTTTTTATCTTAAGTTAGCCCTCTTACTATTTCCATAACTTCTCTATAACGTAACATACTCAACTGATTCTTCTGTCCTTGCTTTTGATGGCTATCGAGTGAACAGAAAGCATTACGTTTTGTTATTTAATGCATATAATTATACCATAATAGAAACCTTTTTGATATATATATGCATGTATGTATATCAATATATGGTTTTATTTATTTAATGAAAAATATAACTGTCATTTATTTTTCAAGATAATATTTTTTATTAATTTCACATATTAATACATAAATACAATAATATATTATATTTATCTTTATCTATCTCTTTCTTCCGCTCTCTCTTTCTCTTTTTCTTTCGAGTTTGAACTTCCGATTTACAGACATTACTCTTTTTATTCTCATTTTTGCTCGGATACATTTACGTGTATTGTAATTCAAATCTATAATATTAACATCTACATGCACTTTAAATGTGTGAAGATAACAAAGAGATGGAGAGGGAGAAAGAGAAAGATAGAGAGAGGGAGGGAGAAAGAGACAGAAAAAGAAGAGGGTTGAGATGTCAAAAGGTGCAGTTATTGCTTGCACAATCTCTGGCCCGCACGACCCTCTTCTGCTCTCACCACTCCTTTTAGAAAAGTCTTTATTTGTAATTAATTTGTTCTCATTGGCTGTTTTGCATTTTACACGAGTTCTTAAAATGAACCTCACGTAGTATTGGTCATTTTCCTACATGTTCATGCTTTTACTATTATTATTATTATTGTTATTAACATTAAATTCGATTTGAAACTTATAGAAATTTCAACAAACAATTTATTGGACGAACTTGCTTATCATCGGGAAAAAGAAAAAAACTTTGAAAGATATTTCGATAAAATGAAGTTTTGAGGTGACAAATAATAGTAGTAATAATAATAATGATAATGATTATAATGATAAGAAAATTAAAAAATGAGAAAAGAAAATATAGAAAAAAGCCGCAGATTTTTCATAAAATAGCTTTAAGCAATTAAAAATAATTTTTGCTTGAAATAATTTTTAATACATATCTATATAAGTTAGATTAAAGTGTATGTGTAAGGAAGAGAGCGAGCGAGCGAGCGAGCGAACGAGCGAGAGAGAGAGAGAGAGAGAGAGAGAGAGAGAGAGATGTCTTGCAAATGTTTCTTCCAAAACGAATCTTCGCGCTTCTTTCGAATTTCGCGAGTTTTGCCTATCGGCCGAGTGCACCTTCTAAACTTATTTAAATTTCGCCATATTCATACCCATGTTCGTAGACCATCACGTAAATGCGTTGAACCAAGAGGGGAATTGGATTAATGGGAAGGTTTACGGAAGGAAATCATGCAACTTTATCCATTTATTTTTAAGAGAACTAAATCTTGAAAATAGATATCATATTAAACATTTGTTCGATTATTCCCATTTATTTTTTTATTTCTTCAACTTCAATTAATTTATATAAAATTTTTTTTCATCATATTCGCTAAAAGATAAGTTAAAACGACCACATATTATATCCAATTAAAAAACAGCACATGATTTGTAAGAAAAAGATTCAAAAGTTTTTTAAAATAAAAAAAGTGTTTATTTTATTAAAAATGCTTTTTTTTAATAGAAAAGGAAATATTCTTATATACATTATAGATTCACAGAAGTTATAAGTTTGATTAAATAAATAAAAATATTCTGTAAGGTAATTAGTTCTTTATTTTGCAACGTGTGAAATAAAAAGAGTGATGTTAAATTACGTAGCAATAATGTTAAGATTGTTTGTGTCTTTGAAAGCATAGTTGATGTATACGAATTAAATATAGTTACTATCAAGAATGAAATAGAATAAAACAAGAGAGAAATATACAGAAATAGGAGAGAGAGTGAGATAAAGAAATAGGTATACAGAAGTAGGAATAGAGAGAGAGAGATAGAAAGTGAAACAGAGCATAAGTTGCGAGCTATTGTTTATCTTAAGCGTAAGAGAGCGGATGAAGCTTTCGCTCCTTTACCTTTCTCATTCTCTGTTTCTCATTTCTTACTAATATCTTCCTGATTCATCCTTTGTTTTTCGAATTCTTATTATCATTCCTCCAGTTCCGATGCCTGCTTTTGACCACGTCATATAGAATTAGAATGAAACAATACTTTTGTATAAATAAGTTGCTTTCAATATTTTTAATATAATTTATAACTATTTAAAATCTCTCTCTCTCACTCTCTCTCTGTTGTTCTATCTTTTTACTTTTGAAACTTGCTGATAGAGAAACTGATCACGGAATAAAAAGGAAGATTAAAATTGAAAAAGTATATTAAATAAAATTAAATTAACTAAAGAAATTTCACTTTCATTATATGATAGATGCACAACCAGTTTTCTTTTTTTCTGTTGTTTAGTTTTTTTTTATATATAATATGAAAACGTTAATGTAAGTAATACTTACAATTAATATATAGCATAATTGTATTAGTAGAAATAATATTATATAACTTTCATACAATATATAATTTTGTTTATAAATACGAAAAAGGAATTGGATTTTAAAGGATTTAATTTCTTTCAAAAGAGTAAGACGATAATCTTCGAGACAAATATATATAATGAAGGATTTATATAATAGTCTTCATTGTCCGATTATTTTTTTAATTTATTTAAAATTATTACATTGCCGCAAATTTGTAGCTTCACTTTCTTCTACTTAATAATCAGCCGAACATTTCGTATGATTTCCGACTTCTATCGATTCGTAATATTTCATTTCAATTATAAATTCTATATTAATAGACGTTTTTAAATAAAAATGAATAGATACAGATAAATATTATTTCTTCAAAATATTTATAAGAAAGATTGAAATTTATTACGCAGATAAATTTATTTATTATTCTATTTATTTTTCGCTCTTATGTATTCATCTGTTGTAACAAATGTACGCGATGAGGATGATTGCCTTAGGAACGTATTCACAACTTTTAGATAAATTGACATATAATCACTTTCATAGCTGAAAACGTATACGGCTAAAAAGCTATATAATTTTGATATCTTTTAAAACTTTTATAAAATTTACAGGATGTACTATTCCTTTCACAGACTGAATGAAGGAGTCAAATAGATATGACAGAAAGGCATATGATTTGCAAACCTGGTCTATTGTACGAAATGTTCACAAGATGGTAGTATATGTGTGGGACTTGTTACGCTTCTTCCGACAAGATACATAACTAACATGTCTCGGCGCCACCAAACGCACACGCGAGAAACCATTAAACAAAGTGACGAAAAAGACGCCGGAAACACAAAGAAAATCATTGTTCTTTCTTTGACTCTCCTAGAGAGAACAGTCATAACTGCTGGAAGTCATAGTCTGTATCTGCTACACACCGAACAAAGCTAAATAAACATCACAATTGTTACTTGATGTGCAAAGTTTCTCTCTACATAGTGGATTGTCAATGATAAACCCACAGACACCGTCTACTTCTATTATTATCAAGACTCTTTAAGATAGCGCGTGCTGGCACAAATTGCCAAGAAGTTCGTCATTCTGCTGATTACAAGTAATCAACTTTATTTCTTTTAAATTACAGTTTTTTCCAATATATTAATCGATACCTAAACATGTAATTTCTATGGTGTAGCATTTGCAAGTGGAAAAAATGGTGCATTTGAGATATATTCGTGAAAATAAAATTATAATCTAGACGTGTCCATCGTAGAGCTTATTGCGTTGTACTTATTTTAGAATTTTGAGTTCTTATTTTCGTAATGTGTATTCTTTGTTAGGGCTTTAATAGTGATTAGTGTAATCATTTTTAGCTCATTTAATCATAATTGCTTGTATTATGTATTATGTATTATGTATTATGTATTATGTATTATATTCGACTTTCGTCTAAATCGTATATATACGGGTATACATATATCAGGATTGTTATTGCCAAGCGCGTGGTATAGACACTCAGGCATTCAGTCACCTGAATGCCTAAGTTACGATTGAAAAGACTTGAAAGGCAAAAACAAGACATTGTGTAAAATTTTGTGTTGTCGAACGGACCGTTATTAGCATTATTATATATATATATATATATACATATACATATACATATATATATACATACATACATATATATATACATACATACATATATATATACATACATACATATATGTACATACATACATATATATGTATATATATATATATAATTATGGAATGGGAAGATTCCAGAACTAGTTAGTGATGTGTGTGTGTGAGAAATGTCCCGATCGACAGTTGAACAAAGCGATGGAAGATTCTGGAACTAATTAGTCTTGTGTATGTATGGATATGTGAGATAAACCGATTGGTAGTCAAGGAGAGCGTGATTTATCTTTTAAAGGATAATGTTTTAAGTAGGCTAGATTATGAGAAAAGAATTATAGTTTCCAAGTTGTTACATTCTAGTTATAGTATTTTTGTTAATAAAGTTCGTATTAACAAAGATTGACTGATTCAAATTAGTCAGTTCGTATCATCCAGGTAGGGTTTCAAAAAATATCTTACACATATATATATGTAAAGAAAGTATACTTTCTTCAGGTAGATTTGCCGTGCGTCTCATGACCCGTCCTTCCATTGTCCTTTGTTATTTACAAATTCTTTTTGTTACCTACAAATCGAGCCGTTAAGATTTGGAAGAGAAACGGGCAGTAAGAAATAGAACGTAGAAGAAAAAGTTAGTACGAGAGATTATACGGATATTTATAATAGATAATATATAGTAAATAAAATTTAATTAACGTGAATAATAAACGTAAATTGTCGTTTCTTTGTTCACAGGTAAGACTAATTAGCAATTAAGCATTAATTAACAAATAAAGATTTATTACTTTGTTCACAGAGAAACATATTTTCGTTTATCAGTTCACATAATTAATCCGAGATATTATATATATATATATATATGTATATTTGATTTATATTAGTAAAACACTTTCATTTTATAATACATGATATTCTACGATTCGACGAAGCTCTATACACGGTACAGTGAAAACGTAGGTTTATTTCTCACTGCTCTTCGTATGTAGCCGAAGTTAATATATGGTTTTAAAATTTTCAAGTAAATTCTAATGAAAGAACATACATTAAGGACGAACTTTCTATTGTTCTATTTTGCTTGGTATTTTTTAGGAAAGTTGTTTTGTTTTCGCATGATAGACAGTTAGAAAAGGTCACTTCCCTCTCACTATCCAGTAATATGATCAAGGTATAATACAAATACAATACAAATAGAGGTACATAAGTAATATTATTTTCTTGATAATTATTCATAAAAAATTTTATTTTATTTTAGGATAATTATCATTATTAAATAAACCGCAATTATTAATTCCTTTTTATTTCGTGCTGTTTTTCCTTATTTCGTTTAGTTTTTATTAATAAAAATTAAAGTAACCTCTTTTATTTACTTAGTATACATATACTTTCAAGGAGTTTTCTTTATTATAATAATGATACTAGTAATATCGCTTTCGTTTCATATCGGATCTTATTGTGCAGTTGTTCGTGCAGCTATGGATGAGTCGATTCTTGTTTCAATAAAGTAAAAGGAGAATTGTGAAGTTGACTGTGTTTTTACGTTTATTTAAATTTGTTTACGGTTTGCGATTTCAATTAATTTTGAGGAACATGTGTACTTGAATAGGTTGCGTGCAGAACAATCTTAGAGTCAATGTTTGTTCGTATAAAGTTTTATTTAACTTCCTTTTTATAGTCACATAAACTTTGCAGGTAACTTTTTTATAACGGTATAACACGGTATTGAAATTGTTAGATTTTTATATTTTCACTTATTTTATTTTATTTTGTTGAAAATATTTATGCGTTATGTGCATGAAATAAAAATTTCTTTTGTATGCTAACTTATATGGATTACATAGATGAGACAGAAATTATACCTATTAGTCACGTCAGTGGCTTTTTATATCATATAAAAAAAATTTTAAATAATGTAAAAAAAATTTCGGAAATTAACTTCGTTTATTCTATTAGATCTGAGTCTCGCGTAACGGAACTTATATAACGTGTCATTTTTATGGAATGGAATATTTGTGTTATACTGTTATTTCGGTTATCTGTATTTACACATAAAACAAACAATGGATATTAGCGAATTCAATTTATTGTTCCCCTTTTATTTAATGAATAATTATTGCGTAATAGAGTTAGTGCATCACGGAAGATGATCAAGACACTAATATCCTTCTTTTGTAAAATAATATTAGTAAGTAAATATTGAAATTTTATAACCAATGTAATTTTGCAATTCTTTTTATTATAATAAATTTAATACTGGTGGAGATAATTTTCACTGGACTGCAAAATAACACTGATAGTAAATCTATTCATTTTATCATTCGGAGATATCTCGTTATTGTTTAATCCTTATAATACCTTATAAATTTCCGTATACCGTCCAAAAATATTTAGAAAATTATAGGATTTTAATCGTATCTGTTATCTGTTAAAATTAACATATTTCTTTCAAAAATGAAGAAATTTTCACGTATTTTTTATTTTATTGTAAAATGTTTGTAGTTTTACGTGAAAAAGAGAGAAAATTATTTCCGTAATCAAAATATAATGTCGTTACATATATTTAAATTATTAGAAAACTTGAAAAGTCGATATATCGGCTTTAAGATATTAAAACGAGTAATTGTGTTTTTGCTCAAGCTGCTAGTTAGTACTAGATTAATTTATTGTAAGTGTATATATGAAAGTATACGATATCTGCTCGTAACCTGTCTATTTAGATCATTCCCATTTAAAGAAGAAATACTTACTTTATATAACAAATAAAAATTTTGTTTGTAATCTTTTTTCAGATAATCATTGCTTCTCAAGTCAATTTCGATTTACATCCCAAATGAGTATTTTGGAACCACCATAGAACTTCTTAAGTAGTAAGTGAACAAATTCAAGTCGCTTTAGTATCCGTTATTGTAGTTGGGTTTAGGCCAAAGTATTTTGAAAACTATGAATGCTTTTTATCTTTTATCTCTCATTATATACAAACTTACTCTCGTTCATTTGAATGACTTTCGATGCTCGGTAAAACTGAATTACTCTGCTCTGCTTTAATTTACCTTACAAATTTTATAATATTTAAATTTACAATATACGATACAAAATATTAAAGTAAGTACAACATAACCATATATATGATACAAGCTACAATATATATATAATAATATATTACATAATATATATATAATATAGTTGTTACAGTATTATTTCTACCATTTTTTCGACACTTACATATAAATGAACATTTTATAGTATAACATGTAATCCTACATTATGCTGGCAATGAAAGTTTCAAATCGGCATAAGTTACGGATCATAATTTTTCCAATAAGTTATTAGCGAGCATGACCATTAGTAATTCTGTTTTAGGATTTTTAATTACCTTTTTTCTTTGTTTTCTTATATTATGCATGCTTGTTTTTATTAGCTACGCTTAAGATCTTATTTTGGTGACGAAACACTTTCGAATTAATTATTTGGTAGAAGTTAAAAAAAAAAACAATTCCCTTATAATTCCTCCAAATAGAAAGCATCTCTTTTATTGATGAATATTGGTTTTCGAAGTACTCATCGTTTCTGCTCCATGATTTCTCGTCTCCAGTTATGATTTAGCTTTAAAAATGGATCATTTTTTTGACGTTTGAGAAGCAAATCATAATGCGACGGATCAATCTCTTTCTATAAGGATATATGGAACCCATATATCGATCTTTGAAATAAAATCAAGTCGTTTCACATGATTATAAATGGTCAGATTCGACAGATTTAATCTCTTAGCGATGTCTTGTGTTATTATTGGGTAGTTTGCAGTAACTTTATTTTTAGTCTTTATCAGCTTCAATTGGCCTTCCAGGACGTGATGCATCTTCAATATCAAAATTGCCGGAACGAAATTTTTCAAATCAGTTTGAGCACTGTTACGTTAAGACATCTTTTCTAGATATGTCACATAACTTTTCCCTCGCTTGAACAGCATTTTTATCTTTTTGGTAATAAAAAAGCAAAATATGCCAAAAATGTTGCTTTTGATTTTTCATTTTTGATAAGACACCAAGAAGAAACAATTGCACAGAATCAAACAGAATTGTTTACAAATACTTCTTTAAATGTTAGATGTTAAAATATATAATAACAATATAGTTTAACAATGAAGTTAGCTGCTTAAAAATACAACTGATACCTCTGTTGGGAAAAAAAACGAGATAACTTTCCGAATAACACAATATATTTGATATGCGTTCTATTCGCTAAGAAGGTGGAGAGAAATTAGAATTATAGTATAGATTCCAAACATGGATTGTGCAAATTTTCAGTTTGTAAATTTGATGGTATCAATATTTTTTTCTGGTACTAATCCTCTCTTCTTCCTTCTGTAATTTCTTAAACTTTTAGTTACGACTGGACTTTCCGCGAGATTGTATTTCTGTACAGCATGTTTCCACACGAACTGCGCGTAAACTGTGCATGACGCTTCTTACTATGACATTAAATCGAAGTAGCGTTATAAAGGAATAAATTATAATTTATTTATACATTTTTATGTAAAAAGTTTGAAAAATACGCAAAAAACTAATAAGAAGACTTATACTTTATTAATTAATAGTATAATTATATATGCTAAAATAAGGAACGATGCAGAATCACATATCACAATCTTTACATTCGTACCGTGATCTTCTCCTTATATTATTTTTTGACCACCCTACACAGTTTCGCAACGTTTCTTTGCTATTCATAATTTCACAGAATGACGGGTAATACATATTTAATCTGTAATATCTGTTAATCATTATGACTAATAGGTAGTAGATTTATTATGATTGCTATAATTATTATTTAACGTCTTATGTTTTTTGACTATCTTTTAGTAATTGAAGGTGAAATGCACGCATTGTCACTTTTTCATCTTGTACAAACAAAATGCATTCCAAACAGCCACATTAAATAAAAGGAAGAAATTTTTTGTATCATTTAGTACTTTCCTTGATGGATTCAACGTTAGTTATTACTTTATCTCTATTCTATTATCTACCGTGCCCATATTTGCAGTATAATATAATATCTGCTATGCAAGACTGTTTTTTCGGATAGCTTGCTTCATTTGGTAATTTAATCTTTTTGTGTTTATAAAATCTGCGAAGTGAAAAGTGGTCAGCATGTATACTTCGCGTTTGTCTTGCCATTTGAGCGATAACATATTAGACAAAGACCGAAAATATATTTCACGTGGCTTTAATTTTTCATTCATGATAGGCATATCCTTTCTTCGATGTTGTTTTACAGTACGTTTGTTGTATTATTGCGGAGACAAGCGAACAAAGTCAGGCTAATATACCAATTATTAATAAACAGGTGTGCTTTTTTCTTATATATGGTTCTAATGATGAAATTCCAATTTCACCTGATTTTCCGAGAGACTTTTCAGTTATTTTTGTTATCTGCGAATCCCTGCCTGCATATACAATAAAATTTGGAACGTATCCAGTTTTACAGTCGTAGAATATAAAAAATTTGATGCCAAATCTATTCCGTTTGGATGGAATATTCTGTTTGAACGATAACCTGCCTTTGTATAATAATAAATTTTTATCGATGCATATGTTACAAAATGGATTAAAATTATTTTGAAATGAAAGGTAAGAATTATTATAGAATTCTCTTATTTTTACTAGCCTATTGCTAATCTCACTGGAATAAAGCATTCGCATGAGAAATATTTATCTATGTCTATTTATTATACGTCCGAAGATGTCAATACGCAAAAATTTATCTTTTGTCCAACATTCGGAGTAATGCAATTTTTTAACACACGAAATTAATAACCTAATTACAAAAACCATTAAATCTCACTCAGAGTTGCTGCTTGTTAATAAGGTTTTAGAAATGAACACAGAATTTTTATTTTATGTTCGATTTTTCGTTTCAACTGATTTGTTTCTTCAACAATTAATAATATCAATTCTTCGGAAAAGAATAGCTCAAAGTAGTCTAATGAAGTAGCAAATTGATTAATTCGTGTTTACATTCCAGAGTTATTTGAATTAAATTTATGTACTTATTTTTGTTTCTTGATCACTATTGTTATCACTATTGTTACTGAATGTGCGAAGTTCTTTCCACATAGAGACTTATCAACGATAATTTGACAACAATTGGTGACACTGACGTGATCCTTGTGCCTCAAGATATCGTATAAAAGGAAAAACGTATCGGCGTCAGCCATCCTGCCTCATCTTAAAATACGGGCCTCATGTTCAGAACACTTGAAAAAGAATCACAAACATCGAACACCATGTTAAGAGCCAACAGTATATATACAGACTAAAATACCTGACGGTCCTTAAGGCTCTGATTTCAGACGTGATAGAATAGGAGCCCGCTACATGTAAAGATAAAACTCTCAGATACGCGGTAATCTCACGACTCTTTGATTTCAGACAAAAACAAAGAAACTTTTACGTGAATCAACGCTTCCAAATAGAACACCTTCTCAGTTCCTGTGACAAATGCGCGAATTGGCTGATGGTTTCGCTGATGATACAATATTGCACCAACTTTGGCTTGAACGAATTCCAGCATATATCAAACTCTATTTGAGTTTTACACAAGTAAACTTCCACTTGATGCTATAGCCGAGTTTGCGGACCGTTTTTACAAGCTGATGCCTTACGATCAACAGAATAACCAGGTTATGTATGGCAACCTTTACACGCTATCTTACATCACCGACTCTTTAAGACATTAACTCAAAGCTCATAGAAATTCATAAATCTTTTGTGATGAAGAACGATGAGTTCATATCACAACTCATTCTACTGCAACAGCAAAACCAACAACTGCAGGCTCGACAATCTCCGATGCATCATAATCGCAGCAGTCCAAGATCGTCACCTTCTCGCAATAGAATCTCCGATTATTACCAAAGTTTTGGCAGCGAAGCAAAACGCTGCCTTTTACATTGTAAATTCGCTTCAATGACAACCTGACAACAATCAGGAAAACTAACGTTGCTGTCTTTATTAAGAACAGTGAAAGACAACAATTCCAAACTAGAAGAGCTACACTACCAAACAGAAATTCTTGATTGACTCTAGTTCCGTCGATTCCATAATATCTGCAAAAAAGCTTCGTAAAAATATAAATACCAACTCACACTTTATGTTGCAAATTCATTACATATATACGGCACTAAAATCATCAACCTAGATTTAAATCTCCGCAGAGATTTCCGCTAGTCTTTTATCATCGCAGACGTATAAATAGCAATCATCGGAACTGATTTCTTAATTCACTACAACTTATTGATTGATTTAAAGTACCAACAATTGATAGATTCAGTTTCTCATCTCGTCAAAAGGAAATGCAATGAAAGCACAGCATTACTGCATCTCATCTATAAGTTCAGATTTGCCTACTGAGTATGCTGAATTTTTAAAACAATTCATTGAGATTACTTGGTCGATTAGCAAGCTATGCTTAAATTTAAAAGCACGTCCATTTATGCACAAAATTATTACGCATGGTCCTGCACGAGCACTTATAGTCACTGCACGAGCACGTGAACTAGCAGGTGAAAAGGCAGCGGCGGCAAAAACTCAAATTAGAGAACTTCTGAACTCCGGAATCATTAAATCCTCCAGCAGAATGTACGCCAATTTTATTCATATGATACGAAAGAAAGACAATAGCTGGAGAACGTGCGGTGACTATCGTAAACTTAATGATGCTACTAATCCTGACATATAGTTCTTCGCTCATTCTTTCTGTGAATACATGATAGAAAGCATTACAGCAAAATCGACTGCGAAAAAGCATATCTACAACTATTTGTGCACGTGGACATCATTGAAAAACAGCCATCATAACACCTTTGATTATGTACTTAGGTATGCCTTTTTGTCTGAAAAACCCCACTCAGTCGTACCAACGATTTATGGACGCATTTTTCAGAGATCTGGACTTCATCTTCGTCTACGTGGATGGCATTCTGGTATTCTCGAACAATGAAGATTAATATCTGGAACACACACATTAAACGCTTAAAAGACAACAACCTTATTATCAATCTCAAAAACTACCTGTTCAACCAAACGGAAATAAACTTCCTGGGTTATACCATTAATGAACATAGTTACATTCCAACGTGCGAACGAATTGATGCCATTAAAAGATATCAGAAACCTAAAACTATCGCTGAACTTCGCAGATTTCTTGGCATGATCAACTATCATTGTTGTATACTTCAGGCAGTTCAGATCATGTTGCCTCTCAATAGTTACCTTAAAGTGTCAATAAAAAATGATATAACCAAGATCGCAGGAGTTCCTGAAAACAATAAGGCATTTGAAATATGCAAAAATACTTGCAATAATCACATTGCTCGCTTTTTCGTTTTCTAACAAACCATTGACTCTTTCAACCGACGCATTCGCAACTGCTATCGGAGCTAAACTAGAACAGCTAGAAGATGATATCCAAAAACCTATAGGGTTTTTCTCTACATAACTGAGCCAGACGGAACAGAAATACAGCACATACGATCGTGAACTTCTTGCTGTTTTGCAGCAGTCAAATTTTTGCATCACTTGCTTGATTTCCGTCAATTTGTCAACAAAACGGACAACAAACCACTTACTTTTGTCTTCAACCAAAAACTGGACCAAACATCGGAACGTCAACTACTATAGCTCGAATACATTTCACAATTTTTCACTGACTTAGTCTATATGAAGAGTGATGATAACATAGTTGCAGATACACTATCCTGCATTAATACTATAAACATGCCATCCATTCTCACATCTCTTGAAATCCAACAAGCACAACTGAACAACAATGATCTAGCTGATCTGATTAGAGACACAATTTCATTGAAATTACGAAAACTCACACTAGAACCAGGAATGAACATCTATTGTGACATTTTATCAAGATTCATCAGACTATTCTTACCAGAACCATTACGCAAAACAGTTTTCAAAGTCATTTATAATCTTTCACATTATAGCGACTGGAGCACATCTCTAAATTTATGCGAAAAATACATTTGGCCCGATCCTTAAGGACGCACTCAAATGGTCTAGAGAATATCTTGCTTGCAAAGAGCAAAAATTCACCATCACAATAAGATCAAGCCAATCCACATAGACTTATTTGATAACCGCTTTAATCATAATCACTTGGACATCATTTTTCTACTGAAGGTCAAACGCTACTAATGCTTGGTTACTGCTTAACCCTTTCGCGACGGCGCACCTGTACCATATTTTGTTGTCTTCCGCGAAAGCGCAGTAACACTTTTTCAGTTACTTTGTAGTGATCTCTACTCATTATTCTGCAAAAAATGTCACTTCGCAATGATTTATTTTTGCTCCAATATTCATCAATTGATAATTTCTTCTCTCTAGACATTAGTAAGCAAACAGCGATAAAACAGTACAGTTCGTCTGTCTTTGTCCCAGGTTCAGGATTACTATTATCTCTTCGTCTCCAATGATTAGTTGTTTTTTTCAACAATGAAATCTATCAGATGCGAATGATTTGAAAAATCGCGAAATTTTCCAAGAATCAGATATGTCTGTTTGAATTCCCGATTGTTGTCTTGTAAAATCATGAATGGTGAGCCCACAATTTTGAGAGGTCCATCTGATATCATTCGGATTAATGCTTTGTTAATTAACATCTTCAGTTTCATCAGATTTCGATGTACTAAGTAAATTTAATCACCTTATTTTACGAAATGGTGTATTTATATAAGATTCGTTTTCATTATAATTATCCGATTCAATCTCGTTCATCTGTTTCCGTTGTTTCCTACTGTTATATTCCGTTTTAAAAAGGGTAAAATATTTATTAACATTAAGAACAAAAAAGTGAAATTGGAGGTTTTACCGATGTAAGTAGTGATTCGGCCCACTCTATTTTTTGTAGCTTATTATAAGTTATTTGAATCTGATACATCATAAACTTACAGAAAATAAATGCACTCTTTTTGTATCTTTAGAATTTTTCGAATTTTTAGCAAAATAATTTTGTGTTGCCTTTATTCGCATATAATACTCTTAGTGAGAAAAATTCTTTATTTCTCTGACAATAGTCTGTGCCGTATATTGTTGGCGATAGCCTTTGTAAACCAATAAACAGACTGCCGTATCTAGACGTCAGCCGCTATTAACTAATAAATGACTGCTGTGTATAAGCGGCGTCAGCCTACGTGGGCCAAAAAATAACTGTCGTATTTAGACGGCGTCAGCCGCTGTGGTGCATCAAGTGACTATCGTATGTAGACGGCACCCATCGCGAAAGGGTTAACCTATGATCGTTTCACCATATCGTTTCAGCTATACCTCTGAAAGACATGACAACGGATACCATCATTACTACACTATACGAACATTGGATCTGTCATTACGGTACACCAAGAAAAATCACAACTGACTAAGGAACTCAATTTGTGTGAGCACTTTTACAAACTCTTGCTCAGCTCGTGGGAGCAACAAAAGCTCGGACTATACCCTATCATCTTAAATCCAATGGAATTGTAAAGATGATGCATAAGATTCTCAAAGCAGCGCTTATGTGTTTCTTTAAAACATGGACGGAGATCTTACCTACAGTATTATTAGGCTTAAGAATCAGCTTTAAACCTGACACCAAGGCACCCCAATTGACATGCTATATGGTATCTGTTTACGTGTACCAGGCTAAATCTGCGTCACTGCGAACAATAATCTAAGCCACAAATCTTTTTGGAGAAACACAGAATTCATGCGTGGACTTAAATGTACATCTACTGCTCATTACGTCAAAGCCGGGTTCTTCATTCTAAAAGACCTTGACACCTATTCTCATATATTCCTGTTCTGTGATCACGTGAAAGATCCACTAGAGTAATCGTATATTGGTCTATATAACGTTATAGACCGAATAAGTGACCGAGTTTTCAAAATTAACATCAACGGAGAAGGGAAAAACATTTGAACAGACAGATTGAAGCCTGCATATATAAACAAAACCGACGATGACCAACCAGATCAACAAACCCAACCACATCACTGGGGTTTCATTACAGATAAATCTAAACGAATTTACATATGTAAAGTCAATTTCAAACTTTCCGCAGAAACTCACTTAGGGAGTGGCTGTGGCGATCTCGGCGTGACTGTTACGTTTTTTCTGTCAAAGACACATAATAAATACGTCACAGAGCCACCAAACGCACACGCGGGAAACCAAAAGTAAAAAGTAACCTAAAGTAAAAAGACAACAAAGACTCTGAAAAGAAAGGAGACAGAAAAGATGTCGGAAATACAAAAAGAATTATTCTTTCTTTGACTCTTCTAGAGACCATAGCCATAGCTGCTGGAAGTCATAGTCTAATTGTATCTACTATATATCGAACATAGTTAAATAAACATATCACTGTTGCTACTTGATATGCAAAGTTTTTTTTACATAGTGGGTTGTCAATGATAAAATCTACACATATCGTTCAAAAGCATAATATCCACGAAAGCCATTATAGTGATGTAACGTAAGATAATCTAATAAAATAAGTATAATAAGATAATATACGCGGAAGCCATTAGAACAGCAGTTACTATCTAATAGGTTAAAATCAATGCATTGGCTTATTCCTTCTTGTTAGAAGCCTTTTCTTGGCTGACATTTTTTTAAACTCACTAATGAGACAAAATTAATACGTCTAGTAATTAATCGTGACGCCTCAATTGATCGTGGAGAAACAGTATGAAAACATGTGCACTTCGATCATAAGATAGTAAGACAAGGAGAAACAATAACAGACGAAAGCCAAAGAAATGAAAGGAAACGTTTCATAATTTTTTCACATGTCGTTTGTATTAGATATCTGTCGATGGCGAACATTTGTCGAAATAATTAAGAACATGATTTCTTGAGAATTCGCGCGTCAAATCACCACATAATATGATATATTTTTCCTTCTTTTGTTATCAAAAATTACCATCATCGTATATGTCATGATGTAAATAATTATATTCTTCTGTTTTTTCTTATTATTATTACTATATCATATATTATATCATATATTATTATTATAGTAACATTAATAATAATAGTAATATAATGAAGTGACATTTCCTACAAAGGAAACCATAACAAAATAGTGCTTGGAGAGAAATCTCGTAGATAATGTAGAAACGAACTCCTGTTTTGGCCTTCATAAAAAGTAATGCATTATATACATATATATATGCTCATTAATTATTAATTATAAACAAATAATCGACAAATGTATATATTTTATATGCATTTTTTATCGAATAAAATTATACTGCTACACTGTCCTATCTACCATAGATCACCGCGAAATTCACGTCACGTTTATCAGTGGAGAAAATAAATATAAGATGTTGGATAGTAACAACTTAGTAATTTATCAAATAAGGAAAAAAGAGCAAATTCATTATTTTCGTTTACATCGATGCAATGAAAAAACCACTGGAATTATTTACGTCTCGAACTTAAAATTCCTGAATTACGAATCTATACGCTTGCCAATATGTTATACATTGTTTATAGAATCTCTATCTTCTTAGTCTATAAAATCTAACAGAAACTATATTTTTTCAAAAATTTAAATATTTTAGAAATTCAGACCCGGTTGACATAAAAGATTTGACCCATATTTTCTTATTTTTGCCATAAAATCATTTGGCCAAACCTCATTATCGAATGAATTACGGTAGCTTTTTTGTTTGAGCACCGTGGAACACATTTCTTTAGATTTGGAAATGTTCAAAAAATCTGAGCATTAGCTATTTACATACACAATTTAGCAAACAATTGTTACTTCTCGGACATAAAACATGTACAATTCAAACGTGTATATGAAAACCAATAGTGGAGGTACGAGCTTCAACTCTTTTGTCGCAAATTTCAAGGCGCGCCACAGTATATTAAACTTTTTCTTCGCGAAAAATATCGAAAAGAGCATTTACGCCATCAAGGACGACAGTTTAATCTACGGTATGATTTCGACGGATTTTAAAAAAGCTTGGTATTTATACATAAACTGTTCTCGAAAAAATACCATTTTTTGACACAATTCTTTTCAAAGAAAATAAATCTATTTTAAAAATCCATTTACTGTAAATTAAACCTTCGTCTTTAAAATGAGACTCAGTTCGTCAAAATCTGTCAAGAATTACGCCTCATCTCTTTAATGGCATTAACACATTGTGTACGGTACTCTGCGCACTCATCGCGCTCCCAAGGCCCGCACATTTTTGAACACTCCAGATGCATGTTTGGCAAACAATAGGATGGGTATATGCACATTTTTGATTTGCATTTGATATTATATTTACATAAATTCTTAACTATAAATTTTATACTTCTATTTATTATATAAGATTTTTTACATTTTAACTGTTATTTATTTCACATGCTTGAATAATGTTTTAGAGTGTGATATTTAATTAAGCATACTCCATTGTGCAATGGTGTTCAACACAATGTGTTACAGTATCTTGTTTCACTCTTTTTTCCATTGGACGAACAAATTTTATATTGCTCGACTGAAAAATTTTTGCCTTTACTCGTTATTGGTTCAAGTATATGCTGCTTTATATTACCAGCGAGTCTTATGGTGGGTCGATGCGTAGATGATTTGTTGTATTTGAAATACTTTTCTATATTCATAACTGTATCCGTTCATTTTTATTCTTACACGAATTATAAATCTTGAATGCATTGAACATTCTGCAGTTGATGAGATATAATACTACCTTTTTTGGCCATTTAATGGTTTTTCTCAATATTGAGTAATATGATAGATACTGATCAGCAAGGTCGACGCCGTTCATGTTTGAATTATATTCTCCAATGCATTTTTGCATGGTTTTATATTTTCCAGTACATTCAACAATTTCAAATTTATGAATTGTCGGAATCATTCGTATCTCCCTTTTATCTTTCCAAATTTGCAACAAGATATGACGTTTACGTTTGAAAATACTCTCCCCTTTTTTTAGATTTAACGATTTTATTTTAAAACATCTTGGCAATCTATTGGTGCTTATTGTGCCATAAATTCGTATTTTATTTTGTAATAAGTATTCAGCATTATTCAAAGTATTATAATAATTATCCATATAAAGATGGTGCAAATATCCGAAATATGGTGTTTATCATTATTATTAATAACGGTGTAAGAATCGTTAGAAGAATCCTGCGGTTTTCCTCCTTGTTCATAACAAATTTCTATATTATGTATATATCCAGTTTGACTCTCCGATAATACTCGTACAAGTATTCCATATTTAGTAATCCATTGTGGATTGTACGTCTTAAATTTTAATTTTTTACGCCAAGGTATTATGGCGTCATTTAGCGACAGGTTCTGATTAGGAGTTGAACGGTTAAAAATTTTTCTATCAAATATTTGTAAACAGGTTCTATTTTATAGAGTCTATCACTATTTTCTATAACATTTCATGTTATTGTTACAATGTAAATATTTTATAACCTATTCAAACTTGTTTCTACTCATTAATTTTGAAAAGATAGGTGTAGACAAATATGGATCCACGGATCAATATTCTTTTATGTTTTTCTTTAGTATTTGTCCCATCAAAATAAATTCTTCGAAC